TGTGTGTGTGTGTGTGTGTGTGTGTGTGTGTGTGTGTGTGTGTGTTTGTGTTTTAAAGAGTCAGGGTCTTGCTATGTTACTGAGGCTGGATGTCTACTCCCAGGTTTGGACGATCCTCCTGCCTCAGCCTCCGAGTAGCTAGGACTACAGAAGCACACCACCACACCTGGCTTGTGATCACATTTTAAACTCTGGTCAGTACTCAGCATTTTATAACATCCTGTATGAATGAAACACAAGCTTTGATGAGAATCTGTGGAACTTACTAGACTGAGCCGGGATGGGTGTTTGATGTAGGATAAAGTCCATTTCTATTTTACAAATCAGTCTAGAGTCTGAAGAACAAACCGTTCTGGAACCCTCTCCACACATCACAGAGCTCCACCCACCCCAGAGCTTCACACAGAGGGTGTGAGAAGGGGAAAAGGGAGGAAAAGGGCAAGGCAGTGTGGGTAAGGTGGAGTGAGAATTACCACGCAGGTTTGCTGGGAGTGTTAATCACACAACAAGTGACTTCCTAGCCCTCAGTAATACGGGTCAACAGACATTTGAAAAGGTAACCATCTCCCGCTCAGGGGTACTGAGGCACCGAGAGTAGCACTGCCTTCCTACAGTACACAAGTCCGGCGAGGTCCTCTGCAAATGTAACTCTTGTGCCCAAATCCCCAGTGACTGCCTCTTCAAAGGGGAGACTGGCCCTTTATTCCTCCAAACTGTAACCCTGTTACACAGAACTACCAAGGAAAATAGGTTTATCTTATTTTCTTTTAGATATCATAAGCCCTTTTATTTAGGGGTGCTGAGTAAACATTTGCCACAATGGATGGTTCTGTGGGGATTCTTTTGTGAACACCACAAAAAGGAAAAGCATACAGAAGCAGAAAAACTAATTCAGTGGTGAGGAAGAAAAACAATTTCAAAAACTGAAGTTTCAAGGGCCCTGTTGAAGACCCTCATTTTAGTTTTACAGCATCTCTAACATCGCCCAAATTATGTAAGTTTTTGAAAACAGCATTGTCCTTTTTTTCTCTTTTTAAAGTGAAAGAAGGAGTTTTAGGCTTGAGGGCTTATCTTGTAGGATCTCCTTATTTAGGAAAAGGAATGCTGAGGCTCAGAGAGCCAGGTGCTATCTCAGGTCTACAGCGCCCCTGAGGAGCAGGGCCAGTCCTCAAAGTCAAACCCTTAACTAGAAAGACTGTCAAGCCTGCAGTTGCTAAGGGAACACAAAGCATGCACATCACTAGACAAAAGGGGATGTCTCTTCAAAAACCAAATCTTCAGAATTCAGTGTTTGAAATGGGACGGACGCCCTAGAAGAGAGCATAAGACAATGTTTCCACAGTGTGGCATCTCAGAGGGAGCCTTACGTGAAATAAGATCAAAGCACTTCTTCTCCTCAGGGTTGGTCTTCACCTGGCAGGTTAGCAGGTTGAGCTTTGCGGGAGGCCGGTTAGCCTGTTTAAAAGCCAAAAAAACAAAAAACAGGGTTGAGGATGGGTGGAAGGAATAGAAAATCATATAGTGTCAATCCTCATGAGAGACAGCAAGAGCAAGCTCTTCATGAGTTTGCATAGGTGGCCTTCAGAAGGCAGACTTGACTGAGGTAGGCATGACTGAGGCAAGTTACAGAGGCCCCTGAACTTCGTCTCCACAGAGTGCAACCGCCTCCCTGCAAGGGCACCTTGGTGGTCTACACAAACCCACCTGGACAAGGGGACAAGTGATGCCAGCTCTGAGAGGCTGCTGGCAGTGCGTGCCTTCAAATCAAGATCCTCTACGGCTAAGCCCAACACGTTCGGCTCTGATTCCTACTGACAACACAGACGATTTGCCAGGTAACTTGGGCACCCAGCTCAATTTCTGGTGATCTTAAAAGCATTTTTTCTTAGCATAAACCTCACCTACAGCGAAGGTAATTTCACGGCACAAAAATGGCAGAGAAATTGTTTTCCCACTGTCTGAAGTGATGACGGATAATATATTCACATTCCTAAATGCCAACCATCGCCGTCACTTAAGTTTCAAGAAAACATACTTCATTCGTTATCTGTAACCCCCAAACCTTCTCCCCGACACACAAAGACACCAAGAGATCACAACATACTTTCCATCAGAGTTGTGTCAAAAATGGCTATTTTATTACAGTTTCAAACAAAGAGATCACACTTAGTCCAAAAAAGCAAAGGACTGAGGATAAGAAGATAATTTCAGAAACAAAAATTCGGAATGGCAGAATACCTCAGAATCTCGGAGAAATATCCAAATAGGAGTGGGCTTTTCTTACCCATCTATCAAAGTGCTAAAGGAAAGATCAAATAAAAATGTCTTAAATTTCCATCATTCTTGGACCCCACTTCCCTTGGCCACCAGTCACTTCAAGATAAAATAAAACCTGGATTTGGGATTAATGCAGATACATACACATAAGCCCCTACACCTGGACACACCTGTGAAACCCTCATGCCCTTCAGGCCCAGCAGCTTCCTTCCATTAAGTCTACAGAGTTAGGGTGGGAGAGTTGAACCCATCCTTGCAGTGTGAAGGATTTGGGTTTACCAAATTTAGGTTTGGACCAGCAAAAGTTAGATAAACAGGACTGCACTAGGCTCTCCTGGCTCGTGGCTGTGTTGGTCTTATTTTCTATAGGTTAGTCAGATATTTTCCATCATCTGTAGGTATCTCAGAGAATTAGATCGTCAGAAATCAGCGTTAGAAGACGCCAAGCTCTACCTTGTAAATCTGGACCGTTTAAGTGAAGACACCACTGATTTGGATTGTTACCAGGATTGTTACCAATCTGATTATCTAGCTCATCCAGGAATCAAATACACCAAATAATCTATTTCTACAGAGATATCATCACAAACCATGTATGCAACCAAGTACATGAACATGGGTGTATACCCACTCACACATAGCCTGTGTTTATTCTACCACCTCCCTGTGATCACACAACTATACATATGTGCAAATTTTAGGGCTACTCCACATTGTGGGTTCTTAAGACACAGGAATAATAGGAAAGGTTTATGAGCTTTGATAAATACAGAAGCACCTTCATGGACAAAATAATGACTCTGAATAATAATAGCTACATTTACTCAGCGATTATTATGACATACCTATACAAGGCAGGCACTCTTCTAAACATTTTTCATGAAAGAATTCATTTAATTTTCCTAACTGCCCTTTGAGGTAGGAACGAGTTCAATTTTATAGGTAAAGATACTGGTCCAGACTAAATGATTCGATTGAGGTTATACACCTAGAGAGCAGGGAAGCTAGGATTCCAACAAGTCAGGCCGGCTCCAGAGCTTGGAGCTTAACTGACACTCTCCCTGTCCTCGACATGGGTATCCACGGAAGGTAGTTGCTTGCCTGGACTTATCTTTAAGGGCAGGAAAGAACCACAGCTTAAATTACTACTACTCATTCTCTCTGCCACCTCCACCTCGTGATCTTTCTTCTTCCCTGTGATTTGGGGAAAAGTGTTAGTTCTCCGAGATAACTACCATCAAAGACAGATTTCTCACTTCACAGCAAACCACAAAATACATAAAAATATTCAGCGCCTTTATTTGGAGTAGGAATAATTATAAAGGCATAAATGTGCCTACATATTAAGAAATGAGAACCTTAAGAATAGGTCTACAAAACATATAAGCTGATCTTAAGCAATATCAGCCATTTTAAGTTTTACATTAATAATTGTTTGCTGGCTCACGCCTGTAATCCCAGCACTTTGGGAGGCTGAGGTGGGTGGATCACGAGGTCAAGAGATCGAGACCATCCTGGCCAACACGGTGAAATGCCGTCTCTACTAAAAATACAAAAAAATTAGCTGGGCATGGCGGTGGATGCCTGTAATCCCAGCTACTTGGGAGGCTGAGGCAGGAGAATTGCTTGAACCTGGGAGGTGGAGTGAGCCAAGATTGCACCATTGCACTCCAGCCCAGGAAACAGAGCAAGACTCTGTCTCAAAATAAACAAATAAATAAAATTGTTTGCTACTCAGGTTAAGTATTCAGATTAAGTATTAGCTAATAGTAAAGCTACTAGAAAAATTTATGGGAGAAAATTCTATCCACTAAAATTCTAACCTGTTGCAATTTGGAAACATACAGGTCGGCTGGGCACAGGTCGGTAACTCATGCCTGTAATCCCAGCACTTTGGGAGGCCAAGGCAGCTGGATCACCTAAGGTCAGGAGTTCGAAACCAGCCTGACCAATAATGGTGAAACCCCGTCTCTACTAAAAATACAAAAATTAGCTGGGCGTGGTAGTGTACACCTGTAGTCCCAGCTACTTGGGAGGCTGAGGCAGGAGAATAGCTTGAACCTGGGAGGCAGAGGTTGCAGTGAGCCGAGAATGGCTGCTGCACTCCAGCCTGGGCAACATAGTGAGATACCATCTCAAAAAGGAGAAAAAAAAGGTGTCATCAGTTAATTGAGGTATAAAACAGTTTCACGTAATTCACAAAGTATTCACAGTTTTTCTTGAGAATTTAATTTGAGAAGCCCTAGTTTAGTAGAAAACTTGGGAAAGAATGGTTAAAAAAAAAAAAACCATGCAATAGCCTTAGAGTTTGCCATGCAGAAAGAGATTATCAGTGATTCTCCATTTTAATCACGCCATTCTATTTTTTCGCAATTCATCAGGCTTTTAGAAGGAAGTTTGTATTCTTCCTTCTTCGTGACTGATGATCATTTTAAAAAATTTCAGATTGTGTAAGAGCCAGTAGAGATTTCTTCCAGAGTAACACAGTTCCCAGACCTCAGTGCTGTAGCAATGCTGTGAATTTGGCAAAGAGGATATGTAATTAGAATTATTTTGTGCCAAGGATCACTTCTTCCTAGGGCCAGAAAACACAGACTTGGCTAAGAGGGATATTCAACTCGGGCTTTGACCGAATCTCCCAGATGCTATCCTTAATCCTCTGCTCCAATCAGAATACAATAATTTCATTTCCTGAAGGCTGCCAGCTTCCTGGGAAGGGTTTTCCTACCAGTTCAAATACACTCTGCGTGCTTCCATTTCTTGAAGACCTGCTTCCAAACCAAAGGGCATCTCTCATTTCTCTTTCTTGGTAAGGGTGAACTCACTTCCCCACACGCAACCCCCCTGTAGACGCAGCCATACAGAAGGGTCCTCCGGATTTTGAATTCTAGAGCATGCAGGGAAATAGGGAAAAGGCGAGAAAAAGAACACTCGGCCACTAAATGGAGGGCTGGAAACTACTTATTTTTCTGCATGGCAGTGAGGCAGTGAATCAAGACAGCGCCACCTGCCAGCCCTGCAGGATGTACACAGCAATGGCTGCTAAGGGCAGGAGGAGACCTCCAGAAGTGGAGATTCCCTGGAGAGGGTTTTCCCCTCCAAACACAAAGCACTTATTAAATATGCCGAGTTGTCAGCATCCCAGTGATGCTGGTTATAACTGTACTTATCTGCCAAAAACTGGGGCAACCCATCAAAATTTAAAGACAACTAACTCTCTACATCTTTTGAGAGGAAGCTCAAGCTGTGGAGGTGACTCGAAGTGAAGTTTATGCTGTCAGCAAAGGATTATCAGATGTTTTCCACCTGTCATGGAAAGAGCCACACACTGGCATACGCTGAGGCCTGGATCAAGGGGAACTCTCAATGAAGCAAATATGCCACTTGACTTCAGGACAGGTTCTGCACTAACGCAGTCAATCTGAGTTCAAACAAACAGTGAGTGGACACCAATTAGAAAACAAACCACAGAACGATAGGTGTTTAGATCTGGAAGGTATTTAGAAGGGAGCCTCGTCTCATCTAATCTGACATTCCTAATATTAAAGACAGTGATGACTGGATAAATTTGCTTCCCTTAGTCTCTAGAACTAATACCCTCACACTCACGCATGGAAAGAATCTCCCCCCACCCCCACCCCCGCCCTTTTTTATTTTTTGAGACGGAGTCTTGCTCTGTCTTCCAGGCTGGAGTGCAGTGGGCATGATATTAGCTCACTGCAACCTCAGCTTCCCAGGTTCAAGCAATTCTCCAGCCTCAGCCTCTGCAGTAGCTGGGATTACAGGCATGCACCACCATGCCTGGCTAATTTCTGTAAAATTTTTAGTAGAGATGAGGTTTTCCCATGTTGGCCAGGCTGGTCTCGAACTCCTGACCTCAGGTGATTTGCCTGCCTCTGCCTCCCAAAGTGCTAGGATTATAGGCATGAGCCACAGCACCTGCCCAGAACATCCCATTAAGATCCAAATTACATGGCCATGGGGGGTACAGTGGTGGTCACATGACCAGTGAAAGCTAGGTATTGAAAATACAGAAAATCACCTTCATTTCCAAGTTCAGAGACACATTCAATTCCCCAGACCAGAAGTCACTGAGAGATCCCGACACTGGGCATATGTTAGTTCTAGCTCTTCTCTCCCTTTCCAAAACAAAGTCGGCAAAAACGAAGGCACCCTCAGAGGATCACAAATCTTGCTGCTGGGACATCCTTCTGCTGGGGTTTTACTCTATTCCATCACTCATAAGAACCTCAGGGCCACTTCTCTGAACCCCACGTTGAGTGATGACATTTCTATAGGGGCCAGAAAAACCCCTCTGAGCTCCTGCCCAGCTCTCCCTTCACCAGGGGAGTGGAGGGACAGGAGAAGCAAAGACGGTCACTACCATCCACTCACATGCCTAAGGCTGCTGGCCTGCACGCACTACCAGGCCTCTGTTTGGGGAACAGAAATGCAAACCACTCTCAGCATCTCACCAGCAAAAAAAGGCAACGAACTTGGCCTTAAGACATTACCAAAGCTGTCTACTGGCCCATGCGGTTTTCATTGCAGCTGAGGCAATAGCGTGCATAATGCTGCCGGGGAAAGAACAGCATGGTGCACAGGGCTGTGTCTGTGATTGGGATCCAAGTTCCTGGCCTCTGAAAGCTAGATTGGTAAGGAATTTTATCCTGACTGGCTTTTCATAAGCTCAACGGAGAGGGCTCCATTTATTGTCCTGCATGGACTCTCATCAACAGGATGATGGAAAGAGGCCTTGATTAAGATTGGGCACCCTATGTTAGATTTCTATAACAAAATTACTGATACTTCTTTTCTCCTGGATTTCTGGTCCCCAAAGTTCTTCCCATTTAAACGTCTTTCCCTTAATGGAAAAGCAGAAATCTTCCCAAGTGAGATGTTCGATTTCCAGAGACAAAGAGAGCTAGGGGAGCAATTTGCTGTTGTGTGCTTTCTGGAGCCACAGCCTTCTAAATAAAAACAATCTGGCTTATCGGTTAGTCCTGACTCTGCTAAGGAGTGGAAGATAAAAAGGACAAGGCTCCACTTTGCAAAAAAAAAAAAAAAAAACCAAACAAAAAAAACGCATCAACTGGGTACAGGTGCACTCAATCAAGATGGAAGCCAACAAGCATTTCTAACGGGGAAATTCTTTCAGACGCATCCTTAATACCATAACACACGGAGAATAACTCCTGTCCTCTAACTTCACAAAGTCCTCCAACACCACCTTCATCTAACTACAGCAGACACCATGGATTAAAAGAGAATACTTACGGTACCATGGGATATGGTCAGAAAACCATTTTTAACTGAACATTTCCTTTTCTGCCACACTTTTCGGATCCTTGTGGATAAGTGGGAGAAACAATAAGAGTTTAGACATTTTGGACACATGAGATAACGAACGTACATTTAAACTCTAGCAACACCCCCTTACGTACCCGTCGCTCTTCTTGTAGAGGCTGCCGTTCCGCTCAGTCCCATGTTCCTTGTTTCCCTGAGGCTGATGTAAGCTATAAGCTGTGCTCTGCCGAATTTGGGAGTCCTAAAAAATGGTGAAGAGTGTGTTTTTAATATCGTCCAGGTCCCAATTTTTAGAAAAGCAGTACACAAAGAAAATGTATGCCTACTAAGAGTTTTGTTTTTTTTTTAAAACAACAACAACAACAAAAAGAATCAGATAAATTTCCCCTTCTCAACACACCAAAAAAGAGACATCAGATTCCTCTCCAGGAACTGATAAATGCCATCTATCAGGCTGGAGAAGAAAATGTCAGGAAACCAATATTACCAAGCTGGCTGAAGGAATGAGCCCTCCAAGTTTCCAGGTTTTATTTCATTATGAGCCTTAACTCCCTGACAACAACATGAGGCTCCCACTACGGCCAGAGCAGACCATAAGAAGCAAGGTGATACATGAGTGGAAAGGCAGGGGTTTCCAAGCAAAACACAAAACCAGCTTTCTGTCCCTTACTACAGAACCATTACATAAGCTCTCTGCCTCAGTTTCCTTCTTGGACGATAAGAAAAGAATACCCAGTAAGGCCAATAAACAGCAAGGACTCAGTAGGATCACACATGTGAACATCAACAAGTACTGCACAAATCTTCACTTCCTCATCCCATCAATCTTCAGTAAGGGGGGTCTGATCCTGACCAAGAGGAGCCCTAACAGGTAGACCAGCCACATGGTTGCTGAGAATCTGACAGAACCTACCACAATTGGGAAACTCCCGCCTATCATATTCTTAGGGTGAGGACTAGCAATCAACATCCAGGGCCCACGTCCAGTGTCTGGCATCCAACAGGTGCTCAAGTGGTATTTAACAAATGACATCAGGCCAGGCATAGTGGCTCATGCCTGTAATCCCAACACCTGGGGAGACCAAGGCAGGCGGATGGCTTGAGCCTAGGAGTTCAAGACCAGGTTAGGCAACATAACAAAACCTAATTTCTACTAAAAATACAAAAATTAGCTAGGCGTGGTGGCAGGCACAGGTAGTCCCAGCTACCTGGGAGGCTGAAGCAGGAGGACTGATTGAGCCTGGGAGATCGAGGTTGCAATGAGTCATGATAGCACCACTGCACTCCAACCTCAGTGACAGAGCGAGACCTTGTCTCAAAAAACCAAAAACCAAACAAAACAAACGGTATCAGACACTCTGAGCTGAAAGTAGGAGAGGCCACCAGGGCCAGTGCAGGAAATTCTATTTCCCTGAGACTTAAAGGAAATGAGAGGGGAGCAAGACGTGAACAAAGTGTTCACAAAGTCAACCAGGAAAAGGCCAAGATCTGCCTATAGCTGTTTTTGAGAACCCCTATCCAGTTCATTCCATAATGGGAGAAATGGGACACAATGAAAGTAAGTGGTTTGCTCCAGGTGCAGGCCTCCTAAAAGCAAGAGCAAAGAGTGGAATGGAATCCTGCCTTCCACTCCGAGGCTCCTTCCATTACACCATCCTCCCTCCCCAGAGAGCATCCTCAGAGTCCAGGGCCACTCTCATCATTGCCACTGAGCAGCTCATCATCCTTAGAGAATGAAGCACATGCCCAAATGATGAAAGAACTAATGCAGGAAAATCAGCGTGATCCAAGCTGAGAACAAGAGCACTCAAGAACTGAAGAGTCGAAGGGACAAAAGCACAGGGAGAGTGAGTTTGTAAGAAGTGAGTTTTAAACATGAAGGCAAAAACTGGCAGAGAATCAGGGGAGGATCTTCAAGGCAAAGTGGACAGCACACAGAGGACATGGGGAGGCCACGTGGTCAGCACCCAGGGAAGCTGGACAAATACTGCATCTGAGGCAGTAAGGCCAGGGGGTGGACAAGACGGGCTGGAGTCAGAGTTTCGACCGCATCTCAAAGCAAAGGCAGCCTCTTGGATTTCTGAGAGTTGGAAAAAAAGATTCTGAAGCACAAAACTTTTTAATTTTAATGAAGTCCAATTTACCTACTATTTCTTTTGTCACATGCTATAAGGGTGCTATCTAAGAAACTATTGCCTAATTAAGGTCATATAGATTTATACTTAAAACTCTCTTCCAAGAGCTTTATAGTCTTAGCTCTTACATTTAGGTCTTTGACTCATTTTAATTTTTGATTATGGTGTGAGGTAAGGGACCAAGTTCCTTCTTTGCTTGTGGCTATCCTGCTGTCCCAGCACAATTTGTCAACAAGACGACTCTTTCTCCATTGTCTTGGTACCCTTGTTGAAAATAAATTGTCCCTAAATATAAGGATTTATGTCTGGACTCTCAGTTCTATTTCATTGATCTATATGTCTCTCCTTATGCCAGTACCACATTGTCTTGATTATTACAACTTTGTGGTAAGTTCTGAAATCAGAAGTGCGAGTCCTCTAACTTTGTTCTTTTTCGATTGTTTTGGTGATTCTGGGTTCCTTGCACTTCCACATGAACTTCAGGATCAGCCTGTCAATTTCTACACAAAGGCAGCTGAGATTTCTGAAGGGGACTGCACTGAATATGAAGATCAATTAGGAGAATACTGTCATCTTCACATTAAGTCTTCCAACTCATGCACATGAGTATCTGGCACTGACTTTTTAAACTGTCAAAAAAGAAAAACCAAAAACTCCACATGAGCAATCAATAATGTGCTGAGGCACTCTCCATTACTGAACTGACAACCGACTGTGAAACAAGCTCATTTCCACAGAAAGCTCACACAGCACTCGTGCCTCTGGATAAACTAGGGTACATGCCCATTCATACAATGAGGATGGTCCCAGCTTCCACATTTTCTCAGAAGGACAGAACATTGGTACCAAAAATTAGAGCAAATCCAGCTTTCAACATTGCTGGGAACAATGTCGTGAAAAGAATGTGGAGAAATACGGCTCACCTGTACAGCATTTCAGTGAAAGACTAAAAATAAACCTGTCAGGAGTCTCAACTACACAACCAAGAAATACGTCTATTGATTTGAGGAGGAAGAAAAGCCCTGCACAAAGTAAGTGGTGAAATCACATGACAACACCGCTAACACTGTTCGTGCCATGCATATTAATCAGAGCCATTTTCAGGTCTCATGAACAGGATAAAGGATATTCTTCTTCTCAATTGGATCAGACCCTATGCCAGAAGTTGAGGAAGAAATTACCCTGTTTTTTCTTTAGACCAATTAAAGCATGCAGGTAGATCTCAACTAAGCGAGCCTGTAAAACTTCACATTTGTAAAAAAAGAGGAATATAATCTGTTTAACATAAAATTGAACCTGCTTTAGCACAAATTACTTCAGCATCCTCTAGGTGACTCTGAGATGACCCGGTAACAATAGGCTTTGTTAGTCTGTACAAAATGCCTGACCAGGTGAAGGCCGGACAGAGGAAACTGACCCTTTCACATGATCAAGGTTTTGATTTTTAGAATACTATTCAAGGGAAAAGAATATCTCCTTCTGGAAATAAGAGAGGCCAGGGCAGTCCATGTTGCCCCAATTCCTGGAGGCTCCAATGTACTCTCCACTTTCCTAAGAGAGATAAAGACAACCTAAACTCGACAGACAAAGCCTCAACGTGCAGGGATTGTTTGTGTGCCTGAGTATGCAGGGGAAGTGGGCATCTGGTGGAACCTCAAAAGGCTTTCATGAAATTCTATCAGTGTCCAATATCCTCTGTCCTGTGACACCCAGACAAGTTCTCAGAGCTCAGGCATCACCCTTGATCTTCACTTTTCTGTGGCCCTATAAAGTATTAGTCATTGCATTCGGCCAACACAGATTGGCCCAGATGACCAGTAGACTTTTAATATCTGAAATCTCCAGGAACGGAAGGCAAAGGGGGATGTTGGCTGCAGTACAAATCTCATATGGATTTACAAGTAACAAAAGAATCTTGAGCTAAGTCTCTAGGATAGCATAAAAAGCTGACATTTTTGCTCACTTCTCAGAAAGTCTGTGTCCAGACAATTCCTGTGATTGACAAACTTGTTGAGGAGTCATCTCTGGAAGCATAAAGTTTCCCTGTCCAGGAGAGCTGTGATGTCCAACTCATTCACCATCTTCTGAAGATACAACAGGTGCGTCCACCCACATGGGCAGAACAGGGAGCTAGAGGCCTTGCTGAGCCAAGTGCTGAGCCCTGGCCTAAGAGCAGCGCTTTCAAATCTCATTACCACCTATTCTCCATTATTTACAGGTAATTTTTAAAAGACTCCAGAGAATAGGCTTGATGTGGAATAGGCCAGGGTCAAATCCTGGCTCTGATGCCACTGTGTGAGCCCAGCAAGAGCACTCTTCCTCTCTCTCTTGCAGAATAAAGTTGCAGACATGGATCCATTTTGTTCTGTTGTGTTTGTGCAGCACTGGCTTAGACTAACAGCGAAGGAAAGGGTAGCTGGATGTGTGAATCAACAAATGAGCACCTCCACTGAGGCTGACATGGTGACCAGAGCCAGGCTACCTAGCAGCTTGGCAGGAGAGGCAGGCAGGTGGCTACCAGCAGAGATCTCTGATGAAGGGCAGATTCAGGAATGTAAGATACACAAATCCGGACAGCAAAGCCAGAGGCAGAAGAAAATTATGGCTGTGGTGGACCTTGGCTGCCTGGGTGGTATAAACTGTTCCATCACATCCTACTAGACAGGATGGTCAAAAAAGAGGGAGCAAAGGCTATAGGGAGGGGAGGGGGGAGAAGAAGAGAGAGAGAGATCTGCAGAGTGGAAAACATGATGGTTTCAGCACTCAGATCTCTGAGACCACAGCCCAGAGCCTAACCCTCCCCCTAGAAGGGCACAAGTCTGGGTTCTCCACATCAAACAGCAGAGAGAGTCTGCACACCAGTGATGAGGTTTTGGGACTCTGCCAGCACCCTAGCAGGGTCCATCCTGGCAGAATGCCATTGGATAGACGACATGGGATGGGGAAGGCAGGAGGCAAGGCTGACAGGGAGAGAGCCCAACCAAAGATGAGCAGTACCAATGGGTTTAACTCTGCAGGTGGAATCTTCTCCAAACATCAAACACTGTGGTGCACAGATGGGTCCTCAGTGTATAATACTGCACTACGGGTGGTCACTGCATAATTTTTCAACTTTTCTCTAAGTATGAAAACCTTCACAAAGAAAATAATGGAAAATACCAAAGAATAGTATTCTTACAGAGAGCAGAAAATATCAAGAACAAAACATGAATGGCCAGTGATTGGGAAGTGTGAGGTCACCGGGACCCGACCGGCACAGGCTTTACACCAAAACAAAGCTGCAGAGTCACAAAGAAACAGCAGCCTGAAGCCACCACAGTGGAATGGCCACATTCTTCATTCCTTCAATAACTGATGCTTGAGATTTACAGGAAGAGAATGAGGATCACTGGCTTCTACCAACCATCAAGGCAGCTTCTCTGGGGCACGTTGCTTAATTTCTATGAACTGTGATTGCACAGGCAGGGCTAGAATTTTTGTAACACTGAATAAAAATCCTCTAACATCTTCAGTTTTCTAAGTCACAGAAGAAAATCCAACAATGACAGCCTAAAGAATAATGCCCAAATGATCAATTCTTATTGCAAATTTGAGGTATACAAGATGGAGGCCTCCCATCATAAAAATCATTTTAAAACATAGAAAATGCAGCATATTCACATCTGCTTATTACTTGCAACTGTGTTCAAAGATTGTCCAACTTGCTGAATGCCATCACCTAAAAGCAATGCAGGGCATGATACACAGAAAACATTAACACACTCACAACTAGGAGATTGCTGAGTTACGTCTTGACAAGGAGCCAACTGAGCAGAGAGCCAAAGAGGAACAGTAAAGGAGGCTCATTTGAACCCTCTGTACAATCAGGGGCAGATGGGCTGGTCAACAAAAAACAACAAACTATAAAGAACTTCTGGTCTGTGCTGGTAAATTTGTTACTTTCCTGCAAAGCTGTAAATAACCAGCTCTCTCACAACCAACCATTTTTCCCAAACCTCCTAATTCTGCACAGCCAAAGCAAACACAACCTTCACACTGCGCTCAGAGGGCTATTTGGCTCCAGCAGCTGCTCTGCCTTATTTTAAAGCTGAGCTTTGCTTCATGGGTTAGATCCTCCTTCTTAGACAAAGGCAGCTCTTGACCATTTCCAATGGCAGACTTGGGAGCAGCCACCTTGGACAGCTGGACCGCATTCTGGCTCCCACCCTCGCACTACCTCCGCTAGTTACAAATAGGCCACTATTTTCTCTATATGCCAAGTTCTTTTTTCTTTTTGTGCTTATATCCCATGTTTGGAAATATCAAAGCGTCAGGGCCTACATTCTCTAGACTAGGAGGAAGTCACTGTGTTGTAGGTCATTTCTAGCACTAAATATAACCTTGCTCTGCTAATGTCTCACTTAATTGACCCATGTTTACCAAAATTCTACTAAATGAGCACTGTGGCACTATAGTGTGATGGAAGAATGCCTCCAAAGGCAGGAGGGCATCCTCAGGCTGCTCAAGATCTGGCTGGAGAAAAGGCATCTGTGCACTCACAGCACGGCCAACACTCAAAAAGAGGAATAGGCTGTGATTGACATGGGGCTTTCAAACAGGACTTGCTCTGTGAACTCAGATCACTGTGGGCTGGGGTGATCAGAGGCAGCGCTCCAGAGGTGGGGTTTCAGAGGGACTAGAAGGATGTCTAGAGTTCAGCCATGCAGGGGAGGGAGGGAGGGAACGGCTTCATCCTCACAAAGGAACAGCAGCAAAAATATAAACTGTAAACCTGGAAAATGTCCACTTCCCTAATATTTGTGCAAACTCTTCAGCCTTTAATAAAACCTGCTACAATGAAAGGTGAGCGGTTAAAATAAAAAATGCTACTAGTCATTAATATAAAAAGATATATATATATATATATAAGTTCATTAATAAAGCATGCAAAATTCTGTACTTTATATTAAAACACTGAACTACTTACTCTCCTAGACTTCGGTCACAAAAGGTAAATGCATTTGGGAGAAAAATAACAATATTCAGTTATAGTACAAGAAAACAGAGATTATCAAACTGCCAAGAGGGAACTTTATGCTCTGTCACGTAGTTTAGCAATTTCTCTAAAATCACTAGATATACATTTAGACACATTCCTTTTATTGATAAGAAAATGGATTTATGCTAAATTCACATTATGATACCCACATTATAGTGAAAACATAGTAAAATTATCTTTAAAATTTACTTTTTAATGGCTTTTTTAAAACAAGTCCCCAAAACACAAATCGTCCCTGCTGACATGTTAGCACACGGTGACATCATTACAGGAAGAGGGGAAGTAAGAGAACTAAGGATTTCTGCCTGTCATGATGGAGGCAGCTGTAAGAAAATCTCACACCTCATATTTTATAGAACACAACTTCGGGGCTGGCAGAGCCCCAGCTGGTCTCCTGTTTCGTAACTAGGCCCAAAGTGGCAGAGTCCACGCACATCAGGGTAGGGGAACGACAGAGGACCAGGTATAGGATAAAAAGGCACAAATGACAATGATCTCTGTGACGAAGCCACTGAGAGCTCCTTATCTAGCAACTGACAGAGCACAGGGTTTATACACTGCCATTAAGGCCATGTATGTAGTAAATGCTTCCCCCTGAAATAAACATATTTTAAAAGACGGTTTTATAGAACTAAGTTGCAAGAATACACTAAATGTTTTACTGCTGCCTGACAGAGCCTGAGTGAACTGTGAGCTCCTAGAAGACATGAACTTCTTGTTCTTCAGGCCAAAAGCCTCCAAGACATGGGGATAAAACTGCAATCTTTCAAAATTAAATCCCCTCACCTCTTTCTGTTCAACCTGCAATGCGGATTTCAAAATATCTCGAAGCTGTATCAACTGCCTTCTTTCTTCATCCTGGGCCTGTTTGATCTTTAAAAACACACACATACACATACACACACAAAACAGAACAAGTCAGAAAATTAAGACTGAGGTATAGCGAAACGTTGGTGCTCACAGGGCATTTCCAAACAATGCGACGACTCCTTCCCTCGCTAGTCAAACGTTCCCTCCCACCAAGACAGAGGACAGGCGTGGGAATGCCACACTCCATGTGGGCAGCACAGCATGAAAACACAGGATTACACAGAAGCAACATTTAGATGAAAATGTTTGTTGCATTAAGATGGTTTTAACACTGTCGTGGGAGGAAAGTTACTCACCGTGTGAAGATCTGTAGAAAGCGTTTCAATGGAGGGCTTGAGGCTTTCCACGGCTTTGAGTCCATCTTGAAAAAAACTAGCAGGAAAAGGAAGAAACAGAAATGACACTTCACAAAGGAAAATAATTTTGTCAGACGGATTAAAAAACTTCTTTAAAGTGACTGAAGTCATTATGCAACTCCTGGTGGAAAAGACTGTATGAACAGAACTTAAAATATCAGGCAAACCAAGAATAAAATGTCACTCAAAATTAGCAGGAGCGAACAGAAAAGGAATTGCAATAAGCCTAAGTATTTGAGAGTTTTCTTGACTCATATAAAATGAATCCTTGATTTTCAGTTTATAATGGGAAAGGGGTCTACTGACAAATGGCAGCAAAGACTTTGATTTGGAGTGTTTTGAGAATCCAACTGGAAGCATCGAAGGCCAGAAAGGCCATGGAGCCTAAGTGGAAGACACTAAAGAATGCATCGCAACAGGTGACCACTGCATGGAAAAGAGAAGGAATGCAGAAGCCAGGCGCGGTGGCTCACACCTGTAATCTCAGGGTGAGGGATCTGGGGAGGCCAAACTGGGAGTATCACTTGAGACCAGGAGTTCCAGACCAGCCTGGCCAACACAGCAAAACCCCATCTCGACTAAAAATACAAAAAGAAAAAAAAAACAAAAAACAAAAATACAAAAAGGTATTCGGGAGGCTGAGGCACAAGAATTGCTTGAATTCGGGAGGCAGAGGTTGCAGTGAGCCAAGATTGCGCTATTGCACTCCAGCCTGGG